GGGTGAAAGCATTTTGGTCTTATTTCTAAGATGGCTCATTTTGACTCCTGGTGATATAAGGGAGTGCAGCCCTGAGGGATTGATTGCCTCAGGAGATAAGCTCTTGAGAGAGTAGACAAGCAAAAACAATCCACTGGGGGATTGGGCCTGGTGAAGGCCTGATGCAATCTTAGAGATGGCAAAAACCTCCTTTGCTAAGCTTGATTTATGAACACAAACCTCACAGACCCTGAAAACAGAAACGGACAAAAAGCCCCTACCTTCAGTAGCCGGAAAAGCTGCCATTTTAATGTCGAAAACTGTTTCTGGGACAGAGGGGATAAACTGAGACCAAACTGGGAACTGTCAGGGAGAAAGACTCTGAAGAAATGGAGAAGGGACAGATTCCTCCCCAGAAAGCTGCTAGAGTTTGAGGCAGATTGGGGGGAGAAGGGGAAGGCCCCTATCTCCAAAGGCCGCTAGCAGAGGAGCAGAGCCACAGCCTAAGATATCTGAAGCTCTGCATCTGGAGGGGAAGGAACAAGCAAAATATAATTAAGATCTATCAGGGGAAGAAAAAAGACTCTTAAGGAGCTTTGGAAAAGCTCTGTTGTAAATGCTTTTTTCACTGACTGGCTAAGGCAAACACAAACCTTGAGGAAAGTTGCTATCAGAAATGCCAGCCTCAATGTGCACTAAGGAGCAGGTGTGGTTCTGATTTAGGCCCAGTGTCAAATGAAGGAGAGATACATTTTGATGCCAGCTCAGAACAGAAATCTCCCAGTGTCCCGTAATTGAAAACATAAAATGCTTGGTTCAAATCTCCCGTTGTAAAAGAAAAAAACTTTGAAAATAAGCCCAGTAAAAGAGAACAGGAGGTTCACTCTCAACCCGGAAAGAACTATGGGAAATGAAGTCCATAATGTAGCTTGCAACAAAGGACTGAATAAGAGAAATGCATTCTGGGAAAGGTAGTTTTTCCGCTAAAGATGTCGAAATTGCCCTGAAAGACTTTTGTCAGCTTGAAAATACGTTCATAGTAAACTTAAAATACAGCTTTTAAAAGAATAAGAAGGAGCAAAATCAGCTCAGAGTTTGTTGAATGTCAGTTTCAATGAAAAATTGAAAGGATACGGAACTCGGAGATTCCCTGTTTGGGGCACCTTTGTGTAAAATACCTTATTTTCCCTGGATTTTTGTTAGGAGCTTTAGAATAGTTCAACAGGAATTTCACTCTCATCCTGAAGTGATGAATTTGAGTAAAGGGACAGTCTCTAACTAGAAATTGTTTGTCAACAAGCCACTTTAAAATCCTTAAAACAAGGGAAAGCAGTCCATAAACTGAACATTGTCTTAGATATGAAGAAACTTATGGGAAATGAAAGTTCTTTGCCTTTTGAACAAACAACCTGCAATGAATGAATCCTTTGCAAATCTAATTAAGAGGAAGAGGAAACAGGCATTCAAAAAGAAATGACTGCTTTATAGATGGGAACAAACCAGAAAATCTAGCCATCTTAAAAAATAGAGTTGCTTCACCTGAAAGTTATAAAAAAAAATGCTAAATATCACAGCTGCTAACAATAACATTAGGGGCTAAAGCTAATGAAGTGAAAATACTAAGTCCTGAAAATGCCTTTTCCTCAGAGTAAGCTAATGAAGGAGGTTTCATGAAAAAAAAAAAAAACAAAAAAAACAGCTATGTTCTTGACTCTTTTGAATAGTAGCAGTTTTGGTGAAAATATTGGGCTAATAAAATATCAAACATCAACATTGTTAAAGAACTCATGGCACATACAGCTTTAAAAAACTAAAAAGGGGGAATTGTATCAGAGTTTGGTGATGAGTGTAAAAAGCAACTAAATCAATTTTCCTGATATTAAGGTTCCACCTTGCAGTCTGGGGATAGTAGGAGAATAAAGAAGCTTCCAGACTGCTGAGGAGTTTGAGACAATTGTAACTAAGTTTCAGCAATGTTTTTAGGCCTGCTGAAAGCTGCAGGTCTGGAACCAGACTCCAATTTAGACAACTGTCTTCTCCTGTTGAGTTGCCAGCTAAGCAAATTCAGGTTTTTCTTCCTTTTTGGGTTTGCTGTAAACTGACATAGCTCTTAATAGAGTTGTTATAAAACATCTGAAATGCATAGCAACAGAAGTCACTAAGTCCAAAGTTAAGAGATAGCCATTAAAGAATTACTCTTGTTTCAATCAAGAACTTTCAGAATGATAAGCTCAGAACTTTAGAAATGATTTTTGTACTCTGTCTAGTTAAGAGAATCTTTCTAATAGAGATAGTGATGATAATTAAGAGTAAGAAGTAGAAAATAATTCTGTCTTGTTAGAAAATGTTAAATCTCCTCTAAGTGTTAAGAAATCTTGAGGTGTTTTCTAAGTTAGATATATGCTAATGGTAGGCCTGTAGAGTT